AAGCAAGAATGATAATTTACATGAGCTATTTCACAGTGACAGCAACTGCCAGTAATACATTCTGGTCCTTGCATTTCAACAGAATCCCACATGCAGAGGGATAAGAGCATTTAAGTGCAGCTACTATGAAATAGGGGATATAAGAGCATTTGTTTGCTTATGTTGTGGTTAATTGTTACCCAACAGAACTCAACTAATACAAAGTCATCCCAGAGCACTGGAAATGGAGGCCACAAATACAATGCAATCAGTGAAGAATCAGCCTCAAGAACATGCTCTTGTCAGACCGCCATATATATATTTACTTAGCCCTCTTGTGCTATTTAGTATTCTTAAAACAGATATGACAACATTTGACAAGACACAGATCAACTGGAGTAAAAATTAACAAATGATAAAAAGGATCTGACATGTGAGAAAACTCCACCCACTTTAATACAACTGAGCATCAGTTCTCTAGGTAAAAAGGGCACAGGCCAACCTTACAGAACAGAAAGCTCTCTGAAAAAGTCTTGCATCATATTATACAAATCAGCCAAACATGAAATCCCAATGCATGGAGTTATTTGATATATAAATAGGTAAATATATTGCATAAAGAAATTTAACTGCCCTTGGCACAGCTGCTACTGAGTTTAAATTGCAGTTCTGATATCACAGAATCATTTAGGTTGGAAAAGGTCTCATAAGATCATCAAGTTCAACCATTAAGCTAACACTACCACAAGTCAAACACTAAACCATGTCCCTAAGTGCTACATCTACATGTCTTTTAAACACCATCAAGGATGGTAACTCAACCACCTCCCAGAGGAGCCCATTCCAGTGTTTGACAACCCTTTCCCAGATGGAGTGTATCCTAATATCCAATCTAAATCTCCCTTAGTGAAACTTTAGTCCAATTCCTCTTGTTACCTGGGAGAAGAGGCCAACCCTCACCTGCCACAACCTCCTTTCAGGTATTTGTAGAGACTGATAAGGTCTCTCCTGAGCCTCCTCTGGGATAAACAGCCCCAGCTCCCTCAGCTGCTCCTCACAGGACTCATGCTCCAGACCCTTCACTAATATCATTGCCCTTCTCTGGACTCTCTCCAGCACCTCCATGTCCTTCCTGAGGGGCCCAGAACAGAACACAGGATTTGAGGTGTGGCCTCATCAGTGCCAAGAACAGGAGGATGATCCTGCTCCTGCTGGCCACACCATTGCTGACACAGGCCAGGATGCCATTGGCCTTCTTGGCCACCTGGGCACAGCTGGCTTCTGTTCAGCTGCTCTCCAGCAGCACCCCCAGCTCCTTTTCTGCACTCTGCCCAAGCCTGTGGCAGTGTCTGTGGCTGATGTGAGCCAAGAGCAGGATCTGGCATTTGGCCTTGTTGAGCCTCATACAACTGGTCTTGACCCATCATCAATCCAGACTGTCCAGCCCTCTGTGGAGCCTTCCTACCCTCCAGATCAACACTTCCAAACAACTTGACGTCACCTGCAAACTGACTGAGGGTGCACTCAGTCCCCTCATCCAGATTGTTGATCAAGATATAGAGAAATCTGTGATTCAAGACAAATGTTTCAGCGCCAGAGTGCTCAGAGAAGTATCATAACAAGAACAAAAAATAGAAAAACATGCCAAACGGACACATTGTCCTTATTATTTACATTTAAGAGATCTTTCAGGGAAGAACTTGATTGCTTAACATATGGGGAGAAAAAAAACATATTTCTTAAACAGCTCTTCAATACAACATGAACATAAAACAAAACTGTAATAGTCAGAAAAAGTCAGAAAACAGGAAGAAGGCAGAGTAAAAGTGGAGATGTTTAAACACTGATGATAACTAACAACTATTAAACTAGGCTTGAGAGAGATTTGCCTTGATGCACATTTTCCTGTCTTCAAACAGTGCCATTTTTCTAAAAATAAGCTTTAATTTGCACAGAAGTCAATACAAAGCAGCCTAATATTTTATGCAGGAAATCATGAAATAACACAAGGATCCTTCTGGATTCCTGTGTGGTGTTGGTGAATGCAATGAAGTCTCTCTTGAACCACTGGCCTTCTCATTTCCAGTGCCCATGCCCTTTACTCATAACATTTTCACAACATTAAGGCAGCAATTATATCAGTTATTTGCACAGAGCAGTAGTATGAGGCAAATATTTCATATATTTCATATATTTTTATATCTACTATATAAACATATAAAACATGAGTATCTGTAAAAATTATTTTTATATAAATATAGTGGGTTTATGCCTCTGATGATGTTTATCAGGTAGAACACAGCATGCTTGCTGCTACTAAGGTGACAGGCAGGAAACCCAAGCAGCTTACTGTGTGGTGTTATGGGGGAAATATGACATTTCCTTCCTTAGCCACACAGGATTCTGCAGGTCAACAAACAAACAAACAAAAAGGCAGATTAGAGAAAAACTTTATTCGGTAGTTTATGAGGAAAGGAAGAAAAAGTAGAAGGATAAAGAAGAGATGAGCTGCACAACACCTATAATAGTAGCAGTTGCTATTTTGTTCAGACTCACTATTACCTCCTGGTGTTTGGTAGTGGTGAAAGTGTTCTGCCCATACATACAAGCAGAACAAACTGTGCTGCATCAGGAATGCTCCTGAGGAGCCAGGTTTACATCTGACACACAAACATGAGGTAGGGCATTCAGCCATCACTGCCTTAGAATGGTGGCACAAAGCAAGTTTCACAGAGTTGCAGCACACAGCAAGGTAATTCAGACAGAGTTATTATGAGAACTGCAATTGCTACAAACACTGAGAAACATGTCTGAAAAGCTAAAAATAAGTCCAGCAGGTTCAAGTCTCCTAGGATGACTTTGTCTTCAACAGGTAGAAGCAGAAATCACTTGTAAATATAGCTGATGACACTCCCTTTACTTCTCAAGAACAGCCTATTAATTAGTCATGCTTATTTTTACTCTGGTAATTCATTCATGCTCTCACAGATGTATTTCCACAACACTTTGTAACACAGAATGTGTTCCTCTGGTTAAATATTGGTTTATTAATGAATTGGTAACATTAATGTTGCATGCTGTTGGTTCTAATGTGTAACCATCGTGCTGAGCAGTGCCAGCTCAACCAGCTTTCTAACCTGTGCTGATACTTCAGGTACACACTTGAAACTTCCCAAAACAGAGCTGCACCATGAAAAAATTCCCACATACGGTTTGCTACCTGGCTGCCCAACAATTCTTGCAGAAGCACAGCCTGGGGACAGAGCACAGACAAAAATGGCCAGCCCAGCATCAAATATACAGAGCAACTGTGAGACCACACATAAATTTTGCACCTGTACAAAGATCTTTCAGACATCTTCCTTCAGGCTAAGCTGGTTTGTTTCAGTTTATGTCAAATATGCCTCAAGAAAAGAAAGAAAAAGCTACAGTCATTATTGAAGTCAATAAAAAAAGCTTCAGAAATGGCCACCACTGAAAATTATGCTCTGCTCTGTATTTACATAATTTGAGTACAGTTACTTACAAAGCACTTCAACAAGTTTCCAATTCAGAGACTTAAAAACACAGTTTTGAGTATAAGAATTTCCTACATGAAATATTGTCCATACTGGCTGCAAGCTGTTATATGTTATACTCAGTAAAGCATACTAAATCCAAGAAAACCAATGCGTTGAAATAAAACCAAGGATTTCAGTTGAAAATCCAATTCAGTTCTATGAAATATGACAGCATTTCACTCCGAGTTAGAAAGCATATACTTCAGTACCTTGAAGAGTAGAACTGTAAATATAAAATTATATAAAAGACTCATGTGAACACATTACAACTTTTCAAAAATCAAAGATGTTGGCTGAGATACTTTCAACATGGAAGTGCATGTACTGTTGTCATGAACAAAAATGTTGTTGCAGATTCCAGAAGCAAATGTTCACCCTATTTACTTGTTCAGGTGCATCTTCAATATTGATTATCCATCTCTATACATTTATGCTCATACTCAACCTGTTAAATTATATTAACTGACTTTTTTGTGGTTTGTTTTATTTTATATCAGGTTTTAAGTATTTTTTTGAAGTAAAATTTAAAAGTTTGAGGAGTTTTTTGATTTTTTTTTTTTAAAGGTGAGAGGAGGATAGGTTTTCTATTAACAATTAATTAGTAAGAAAAATAAATTAGTTCATAGACTTAGGAAGAGCATTCTTCCAGAAGAGCACTGGCCTGCTCCTCTTTCTTACTAGTCATATCACTGCATTCATTATTTTGCTGCTCCTAAGAGTTAATAGAAATCTTCCTTCCCAAAGAACTTGGAATACAATGAACTACAAATGTACACTGCACTCAATAACTTCTTTTAAATCTAAAATGTTAGGTGATATAAACAGAAATAAAAGTATGAAGATTAATTTCCAGATTCTTATTGCAAATCTGAAGTTTTCAACAGTTGCAAGGTCCTAACAAGCAGGATACCATAAGACATTATGCAATGACTTCCTAACTGAATGACTGGCTATCACACTTTTTTAAACCTCTATTTTGTCAAAGAACTCAGCAGGCCAGACGGAAGAACTTCACGATTCTTTAACAGTCCACTCTATTTTTTCATTACAATGTTTGCACCTAAATGAAGCAGATCTTGTCTGAGAACACAACACATGTAAGATTGCTTACCTTCCCTTCTAGCCCACTTGGAGAAGAAAAATATCATAAAAAACACTGTGAGGGTCTTTCGTAAAAATATTTATAAAGAAACATCTTGGTATTTTGACCATAGTCATCAGAATGCTATTCCTTAAAATATATAGGGGTATTTGTTCATGTCAAATGCATGCAAATATTTCTATTATTAACATCTAAAAGAGCATAGTTTTTGTGAACTACATAAATTCTTCACTGTAAGCTCTTTAGGAAATAAAATCTTTGCTTCATTGTAAAAGTTTAGTTTATGCTAAATATGCCATTTTTTTTCCAAAATCCCAAGTTAATGAAGATTAAGAGCACAAAAAAATGTAGCTTCTCACCTTTGTCTTCATGTAGAATGGCGATGACTGGTGAATGGGCAAGTCCATGAGGCTATTGGAATTTGTGACACTATTACTGTTAGCATGTTCATCTTCTCTGCTGCTGTCATCAGACTGATCAAAATCATCACTGTCCTGGTCCATTTCCTCCTCCTCTTCCACCTCCTCCTCTTGATCACCAGCATGTTCATCATCATCTTCCTCTTGGTTACAAGTGGAATCTTCATCCACTGTAATAAGTCTATTATTATTTTCTTCTAACTGCTCCTGCTGAGACTCATGCCTGTCATCAAATCCAGATTCTTCTCCTCCTATCTCCCCATTCCTCCCAATGTGCTGCTCCTCTTGTTGTCGTCTTTGCTGCTGCTCCTCCTCTTCTACGACCCGATTCATCTGCTCCTCATCTACTTGGCTTGAGGAAGCATTACCTCGAAGAGATCCACCAGTTCGTCGCCTCTTGCTGCCCACAGAGAGCAGTTCCTGATTCATTTCCAAAAGCCAGCTTGCTACTTCTTGGACCTTGGCTAGGCTATCTGAAGATGCAAATGCTTTCACATTCTAAGGAGATAAAGAAAAAGTGGAAAATTAATAAAGTTACATTTTTTTTATTAGATAAAGCAGTAAAAAACTATTTCATGACAACTAAAAACTTCCAGGAAACAAGGAATAATTTCTACTTGACACACAACTAGAAAAACCAAGAAAAACCTGCAAACAACTTTCTAGCAAGAGAACTGCTTATCCTGTCAAACAGTCTGATCATAGTCTCTTTAAGCACCAGATTCTGCAAAATTCCAAACAACTAGTTGCCTTTCTAGAGAATACACAAGAAGTATTAACAGAAGATACTTGCAAAAAATTGCACACAGATCATTTCAAATGGCATTTATTTTCCTTCTCATTTGATTACAGACTTTTTATATTATTAAAAAAAAAACAACAAAAAAAAAAACAACCAGCTTTTGGTCTTATGCATTAAGAGCAGCATATTTTCAGATATAACTGAAAGCTTAATTTCTTGTTACTCTAATTTCCTTTTATATTAATAAAAAGAACACCCATTAAAGAATACAGCCTTATCACTATCAAGTCTCAAGTTGGCCAGAGAGATGCCCGAAGTCAAAAGCAGACATCACCAGCCAACCTGTGTGGCCCAGAAATGGCCACACATCTGAAAAAACCCGAACTGCACACCTGAAAAAAAAAAAAAAAGACTGTTAGTAGTAAAGTTCTCCAAAGTCTAAGAAGCTACAATTGTTAAATGAGTCTCTGAGAGGTTAAAAAAGGCCAAAATCAGGTGCATTTTAATAGAAACTGAAAAATTCTAATGCAATTTCAAAATTATTCATGCATTCAGCTACCCATGTGCCTCCAAGCAATAAATAAGAACATGGAGCTATAGCACAGACTAATTCATTATTAAATTTGGTATCAGATTTCCAGCTATATGAGGCTAGCACATCCAGACTGGTTTCCCTAGATTCAAGCAATGTGTTAAGTAGATGAAATCAGACACATCTCAACAAGTAGTCAGATTCACAGGCTATGAAAGCAGTACATGAAAATGTGTGCAGAGAGAAATCAGCTTTGTCATTGTGTACGAGTCCTCAGGAGCCCACAGCCCACCCCACAAACTCTGCAGGCCACACTGTGACAGAGAGATTCAGAAAGCACAACACCACAAATACTGGATGGGAATATAACTTCTGAGTCTCCTTGGAGTAGGAGCAGTAAAGGATGTTTCCATGTGTACTTCAGCACAGGATAATAATCTTTGAACCTTCCCCACCACTCCTTCCTTTTTCTTAAGTCACCTATCTCTTGTAGGTTTTTTTTGGTTTTTTTTTTATTTTTTAAAAAACAAAAAACCTAAGGTCTTGTATGGATGGAGAAGGAACAGATAAGCCCTAACTTTGCTCCATGGCATTTGCAAAAACATTCACTTCATTGGTTAGTAGGGAACAAAGTACTAGAAACCACAGCTCTACTGTAATTTTCAGTGTGGTACCATAAAAGGCACAAAAACACATTTATAGGTGTTTTTCCACTCTTTCTCTGAGAAAGATTCATAGCTGGGATTCTGCACTTCTCTGCACCTTTCTGCCTCAGGGCAACTCTACTTACATTCCAAAGACAGGGTTCTCAAATTTCCATGTATCTACCCAGGTGATGATTCCTCCAAATAAAACGTTATAAGATCAGTCACTGAAATACATGTTCAAAGCAAGTATCCATTAAGTTCCAGTCAGTGAGTGAGAAGCTAACACTAAAAGACAATTAAGTGCCACAAATTCAATGGAAGGAAGCAGACACTGTGCTTACTCTTGATTTTTCCATGGAAAAAAAAGCTTTAGGACACTTGGGTGCACGTAACCCAAACCAGAAGCTAATAATGTCTGTGTTGTTATATTCAAGTGGTAGCAAAAGCAGATGTGTTTGTTTTTCTGTGTACAGTAAGGAGCACTTAAGAAAGATGCCATGAAGAGTGTGCTCTAAGAGAAATGTTTTCATATAACATCTTCCCCCAAAGCTCAGAAACCTCAGCATGTGGGAGTGACATTTAATAACATTTCATCAAAAGTCAAATTTAGTTGCATATATCATCTGATGGTAATACAACTTACATATCAGGCTTGTTACATTCAGCATTATGAATGAAATAATATTACACCTTATTTTCTCAGCTTGGAAATTTGAAGCACTAAATCATGTAAAAATCAGTAGGAAAAAAAAAAAAAAGTAGAAATCAGTAGGGAAATAAGAAAAGCTGAAAAAGCTGAACAAGAAGTTTACATCTTCTCAATCTAGAAATTACAATTTCCACCACAAATGTTTCTCTAAGTAGCCATGAGTGTAGCTTAAAAGTTTAATTGCATTTTTTCAGTATCAGCAGCATTATATATGCAATTACTGGTTTAGTATGTACTTGATAAAACTGCAAATGCTGCATTTGTTTCAATAATTTAATACATACTTCCAATTTGTATGTAAGCAACCAACATAAAAGGTCAGCTGTGAAACATTAAAGTAATCAAATGCAAGAATATGGTAAATGTTTAAGTGACAAAAATACCTCTGTTGTTACTGTTATTATACCTAAACAAAATTAGCCAATTAAAAATGTACATAAGTACTAGTATATATTTTTAATTTTTCCTACATTTTTGAGTGACCATCAGTTCATGAAATTAGCTTCAGTCATTAGTGGTTTCCATTTTACTCCGCATTTGCATGAATAAACTCAACTTGTTTTTTCAAGAAGCCTGTAAAATGCATTATCAAAATTTAATTACAAGCAGTGCTACATCAGAAATCATCAGTATGCAGAGAGGTGATGCATTTGCTAAAGAACAGATGGATGTACATTATCTGAGAGATTTGAAACATTAAAGCTGCCTTCTGTCACGTAAGTACTTTCAGAATTAACTACTGTCAGCTAATACACAAGATACAATAATTTCCATATATAAGGCAGATAAAGAAAAAGAATTATTATTTTACAGGAAGAAGTGTATTTAGAAATCAACTTCCAGAGAACTGAAATGATGTGTTTTCAGCTACTACAGCGTCTCTTTCATATATACAGCCAGAGACCAATAATTACTCAAATCAACTAAAAACCTGAAGAAACACTGAGGAAAGCTGTTGTTTTTCCTACCTGCCTAGGTCCACAAAGATTTTTTTTTTTTCAGACAGACACCAAAACATAGTAATGCAGCTGGCAAAACTTTGCATAAACATGAAAAACTCATTAAGCTTGGCCAATGAACTAACTTGGCAATTCCCAGGTAAGTTTCCTAACACTTGTATTTTATGGGAAAACAAAATGCAAGAAACCCCTAAGGAAAACTGAAGCCTCCAGACTGATCCAACAGAGCTGATGAAGGCATCCCACACGTCTACTGAAGACTGCATGCAGCCCCCACCCCTACTGAAGATTAAATGCTGTTTAAGCATAATTCTTCAGTTTAAACCATTACATTTTCACATAAGATAAATTATAAAAATAAGTATGAACAACAGTTGCTCAAAACAAGGAATGTCAAGCAATGCTAGACGATTAAAAGGAAAACTGCTCAGGGTTATCTGCCACAACAGGTTGTATTCTGTACTGTGAGGATGACCACTTCATTTCCTGCTTTATTGCTGAAATATCTCTATCCTGCTAATACAGATAAGAAGTCGTTAAGTGTTTTTAACCTATGAACCCACATAACTATGGGAAAATGAAATTTCTGTCAGTACTGCTTGTTTTGATTTTTCTATTATTATCACTTGAAACTGTAAAGAAAAAATGAAATGAGATAGTTGTAGAGAAGTGGAAACTGGGGAGTGGTGGAGTTTGTTTTTTAACAAAATACAACAGATTGTTGTGAAAAGGTTTTAAAGAATTAATTTGGAAATTAATGTATTAGACTGACCTGTATCATGTATCATGACAGCATTTAGTGAAAAGACAGTATAGCTACAGACACAACATGGTTTTTGGCCAGTGGATGCTCCTACAACAAATCTCTTGAGATTACAGATTTAGTGGACAAAAACAACTGAAATAACACAAAATCTTCTGTAGACATTTGACTAAATCTTAACACTGGAACATATCTGAGCTTTTTACTGCATTATTTAACTGTGCAATACTGAATTGAGGTAAATAAAAAGCAAAATAGGGACATCCCAACCAAGCAAAGGATCTCCTAATATTTTAGCATCCAAATCTACCTTCTGAAAAACCAAGGAGAAGACCCTTCTAAGCACACAGTGCCCAAGAACAGCACTGGGGCATTGGTGCTCACAAGTGAGTGCCCCATGGCTGTCGGGGCAGAGATGAAAAGCTGACACACAGCACCCACAGATACCAGCTCTGGCGAGAGAAAGTGATTTATTTCCAGATCTCCCCAAACCCATTCCCCCCCCAAGCCTAAAATGACCCTCACAGTTGCAGCATACCTTCTGCTTTAGTTTCACCTAGAAGGTGTTCCGGGACACCTCTGAGCTTCAACTCATTCTACTGGGGAGCAGGCGTGGACAATCAGGAATTAGGCTTCAAAAGGTGCACTTGATCCAAGCCCAAACTACCACAAAAAGCGCAAGTGCACCTAACAAGCAAAACCATCTAAGGCCTGCTAAGCCCATTTGAAAAAACATGCATGAAAAGGGGATTTAAATGCAGCATTAAGCAGGTATAAATAAATAACAGAGTTAATACTGAGACTGTGAACCATGTTTTACCAAAGAGAAATATGTATTTGAGTTACGGCCATGATAGCTAACGTTGTAAAACACTATGAGCAAGACACATACATGATGTCTTTAAGAAAACACTTAATATATTGGTCTGATTACTGGCTACACAGTTTGTATATGGGAAGGATTTTGAATAATAGCTAAGTAACAAACCAAAGCAGCCAACATGCAATAACTGAAATACAAAACTCAAATGAATAATCTACCACCTTCTTTTATAGGTTATGGTAGTGGAAAATTATTCTCATGCAAGGACCTAATGAAGGACCTTTATCTGGCTCCAGGTAAAAGCACAAATTTAAGGAAA